AGAATATAATAAAAATGGATGTGATCCATATAATGGCTCTGAATAGGCCACATTATTCCAAAAAACCCAACCCAAACCAAAATAAATGCAGCAGTGTTGCCTGAAAAGAAAACATTCACTAGAACCTTTTATATTGAGACTGTTTGACAAGAGAGTTTAATATTCTGTGGGTTAAAATCAGATGTTTATATGGTTTTGCCTTTGAAGAAATGTATTTCTGAAGAATATCTATTTTTACACTGGGGGGAAAAAGATCTACATAAGACACGTATTGTGCTGCGTAAAACGTCAGTGGAATTGACATTAAGGGTTTTAATAACACTGATCTCACTTTCAGTACAAGTTACTTAAGTGCATAAATAGGATGCAAGATGTCTCTTGTTTTAAAGGGGTATTTGCCATTTGCCAAAGTATCTGAGCCCATTACAGCTCCACAGAGCCCATAAAACAGCTACCTGAGCTTATAATATTCCTTATTTTTGAATCTTTGATCTGATAACTCGAGTATAGGCTAATATGAAGGCCAGTTGAACATTTAACATATCTTCTCAGTAACACTAATGGATTGCTGTGCAGCAAACTAAAAGCTTACATTTTAGGCTATGAGACTAGCAGTGCCATCCTGAGTAGAGTTGCTCTCTTCTAAGTCTACTGAAGTCAGTGGGCTTTAAAGGGTGTAGCTCCATTTAGGTTTGCACTGGTGCTTTCTTTTCTCTATTTGTTTTCATAATCATTCTGAAATCCTGCTTTTTACAGCCTCTGCTAAATGCACTGGTACTTAAATATGCATCAATAAATAAACTTTCAATTATTGTGCAGTGAGTAGATCCACAGCTAGGACAGCAGTGTGAAACCAATGGGCTTACTAGTAATCATGCCAAATAAACAGTTTTGATGAATGCGATCATTTGTACTCGAAGGATGGCTACCCTTTAATCCCCCTCTCCTCCAAAAAACTTTAGTTGCTGTTCATTTTTAAGGTATATAGTAAACATTTTTTTAATAAAAAGGTTGTATGGCATAGTTCCTCTAGAGTTTTTCTACAGGCCAGAATGATTTCCATTTGCAGAGGCGACGTTCTCGCCTCCACCCTTCTGCGGCAGCCTGAAATGCCCCCTGAAATCTTGTTCTTGGAGGGCAGGGTGAACAGGGTGGGGAGGGGCCTTCTGAAGCTGCCACAGGAGGGGGGAGAGGTAAGAATGTTGTGCACCGCAGGCAGAGCTGCTTCTGCCTGCAGACACATTCTGGGGGACCGAAGCGGCACATTTTTGCTTCTCTGTTAGAATGTTTTCACATCAGATATAACATTGGCTTTTAAATTAGCATCTGCATGTTCCTGTTTTCTTCATGCACCCACCACCCATTTTCTATGTTTTTGGATAAAGTAAATGTTTCCCTTGCTCGAAAGCCTATCAAATCTGACTCTAGGGGGCGGTGCTCATCTCCGTTTCCAAGCCGAAGAGCCAGCATTATTACAAAGATGTTTCCATGTGGCCGGCATGACTTAAATGCCGAGGTGCATGGAATGCTGGCTGTTACCTTCCCACCGAAGCGGTACCTTTTTATCTACTTGCAATTTCTTGCTTTTGAACTGCTAGGTTCCCTTAAAACCCATGGGATTTTACAGTGGGTTTTGAGCAGTGTGGTGTTAGTGGGTTTATTTCAAGCACTTATATGCCGCTTCTTCGGAGAGCTGATCGTCAGAACAAAACAGCCATTAAAACCCAGCCAGTAGTGGTTAGGTCAGCAAGACTTGAGTTCAAGTGAGTCCCCACTCAGCCATGAAGTCCACTCTGCAAAAACCTCCTGCCACGCATCTGCCTCTGGTAGGGGACACAGAAACTGTCTCTTCAGTGGTAGATACTGTGTGTGTCCATGTTCTCAAACTGTAGGTTTGGGCCCAAAATCAGGTTACAGTTGTTTCACAGGTAGGTTGTGGGGGCCATGCAGGAAGAACAGGATACCCTGAGAGAGGACGTTCTGGGAGGGTTGATGTCAAATTTGAGCTTTCTTCTGAATTATGGCAAGGAAATGCAATCTGTTGCTCAATATTAAATATGAGTATTAAAATTTTTTTTTAAGTTTAGCAATAACTGATGGGAGATCCTTGCATTTTATGTTAGAGGGAGAGTAGTGTGGATTTACTTTGCACAAGGCTTCCAAAAGCTCTAGAAAATAGGTGGTGTTATTTTTTTTACCAATCACCGTAACCTGTTTCTACATTCGAGTTGCATTTGCTGAAATGGGCCAGCAAATGTGTACAGAGCTGAAACTGTTACACTAGAACATGTTCATTAACACCTATGTTAATGTTCTCAATTGAGCTCTGCAACGATAAATTCATACCTGTTATTCCTCTATTGGTGTGTCAGGTTGCAGCTGAATATATTCTAAGGTATTTGTGTAAAATCCATGCAGTTCTTTTTGTTATGATTAACCAAGGTAACACTACATGTTGTGCAAACTTTCAAGTTCTCCTGAACTCTTCATCAGAATGGATGTTAAAAACATACAGAGGTGGTGATTGGGGGCACACCAGCATCCTTTAGGCCAGGGTGTTAAAGCCTCTGTTAGCATCATGTGCAAGATGCTTAACAAACTTCGGTGAGTACAAGGTATGGCTACCTGGTACCAGATTACACACTGAGTGTGTGTGATTAGAATGAAGCATTATTCAGTTTATGTCACCCGGTTTATACAATTGACATCAGCATCCTTCTGTGTTCTGTCATCTCTCAAAGCCTAAACCCTTAGAACTCGACTATCTCTGTATCTATGAATATTGGACCGATTTGTGTGACTGATTTATTTATTTCCATGTACTTTCCAAGTCAAAAGTACAGAAGGCTTACAATTTGTTCTTGGTATTTTCAGTTGCCTTCAAGGAGAATCAGATGCCGTAGTAGAACGCGCTTCTTCTCAAATTAATTGTGACTTCTATTAAAGTGAAAATGCTACGTCTGTCATGAAGCCATCTGCACTGGTTAAAAAAGGTTGCCTGAATTGTGCAACGCAGGTTGAGAGTTTAGCATTCAGAAACGGGGTGTGCGTGGGGTTTTTTTTGTTGACTCTTTGCATAAATTCTGGGTGCGCTCTGCGCACCGGCAAGCAAAGTCTTTTGGCCTTGATGCCAACGAGGAAGCCTCAAGTGATGTTTTGAAATCCTTGGGCTAAGTGTAACTGACAGAGCAAAAGAAAAACACCTATGTCAATCTGAACAATAAGCCCCACCCTAAGTCATACAGATTCAAGTGAGCACAACTGCAATGAAATATATTTACAAATGAATCCTGTTGCTCTATTAATTTATGGTGTAATTACGGCAATTCTTCCCACCTTGTTTTCAGTACTTCTTAATCATTAAAGCTGGAAGCCTGACAGCAGTGCCAGCCCTGGCATGATTCTCTTTGACTAAAACCTTGTAAATTAACACAATTAGCACAGCATCATGCTGCTAATTAACTTCCTGTGTCTGGTGCAGCGGATGTGCAAACAAGGAAGCGGGAATCAGAAGGGAATAAACATGCCATTCTGTTACCAAACTGTCTGCGGCATTACGACTAGCTCAGGGAGGCTAAGCTTGGCCATGTCAAGATGCCGGAGTCAGGCGAGGAGAGCTCAAGGGTGTTTGGGAAGAAAAAAGCAATCTACGGCGGCGAGAGATTCTCCAAATAGTCTGCAGTAGGTTTGGAAGGAAACCTATGCCATGGATGCTTTGTTTCAGACTAAGCTTCCTTCTTATGAGAAAATCTGTACCAGAGGGCACTAGACAGGTTGCAGTTTAAAAATATATATATATATATCTTTTTTATATGAAACCAGGAGAGATTACTGAAGCCTTCTTCAGGGCTGCCAGCCATGCCAGGCAGAGTGGAAAGAGCCTTTTCTTTAAATGCTGGTGACCTCTGTGTGCCATGACGGGTTACCAAAGGTACAGCCAAATCAAGATCCCCTCATTTCTTGGGCACGATCAATTGTACAAAAGAAGTGGTTGTGCTGGATTGCTTCGTCTGCTCCGACAGTGTTTTTCAGCCACCCCACCCCTGAACTTTTTAGCAACTGGGCTCCATTTCATTTTTTTTCTTCTCTAGCTATATCCCCCCCCCCTTTTTTTCCCGTACCCTAGAGGCTGGGTGGGGGAGGTGAAGGAGAGAAGGAGGAAAGCTGGCAAAAAGACCGACAGGCAAGTGATGCTTGGGCGCTTTCTCTCCCCCCCCCCAGCCTCAACAACAGAATAGTGAGGCAGAGAGCAGCCAGTTGTAATTCATACCGAGTTGTAAGCTTTGTGTGATGAAAGCAACGGAGCGCTGCCTGGGAGATTGCTTTGCTGCACTCCACGAAGCAGATTTGAAACTGTCGTGGACCACTTTAGATGAGAGTTGGATTATGGAATGACCTGCTATGTCTGTGTCATATTGTTCTGTGCAGGGTGCATTATACTGTGCTAACTAGGTATTCAGTACCAAATAAGAAAGGTATCCTAGATATGATCTGTCAGCTGTGTCTCAGTTTTTTCTTAAATCTGTTAAAATTTAAAATTGCAATAAGGAAAGACAGAATGCTGGGGATTTTTAAAACATGTTACCAAACACCTAATTCATTCTAGGAATATTGCAGATGTACACGGTCATCCTTTTTTAAAAAAAATGTAGTGTGGCTCAAATAATTTCTTCCATTTCCTCCCTCTGAATTAGCAAAATATGGCATGGAGACATATTTTTATTGGTAATAGGCTATTACAACCCATCTAAATCCATACAGTTTTAAATGTCTTGTTTTAAGCACAGCATTTGTCAGAGGTATAATGAGGAAATCAGGTGCATTTACTGAGATAGCTTTACTCCATACAGTTTTAAATAATGTCTTGTTTTAAGCACGGCATTTGTCAGAGGTATAATGAGGAAAATCAGGTGCATTTACTGAGATAGCTTTGCATGATCCTGTACGAGTGCTAATTTTGATTTCTCTTTTTCCCCCTCCCACAATCCTCAGGCTTGAAGATGCAGTGGACGCCAGAGCATGCCCAGTGGCCAGAACAGCACTTTGACATCACTTCCACCACCCGGTCTCCTGCCCACAAGGTGGAAGCTTACCGTGGACATCTGCAGCGCACCTATCAGTATGCTTGGGCTAACGATGACATCTCTGCTCTGACTGCTTCAAATCTGCTCAAAAAATATGCAGAAAAATATTCCGGTATTTTGGAAGGGCCAGTGGACCGGCCCCTCCTGAGTAACTACTCAGAGCCTCCGTCAGGGCTGGTGAATGGTCGAAAAAGCGAGAGTGAGCCCTGGCAGCCTTCTTTGAACTCTGAGAGTGTTTATCCTATGAACTGTGTTCCAGATGTTATTAGCGCCAGCAAAGCTGGTGTAAGTACTGCCCTCCCACCAGCAGATGTCTCGGCTAGCATTGGGAGTTCACCTGGGGTGGCCAGTAACCTGACAGAACAGAGTTTTTCCAGTAGTACATGTGGAAGTCATACAGTCCCTAGTCTGCATTCAGGGCTCCCATCTCAGGAATACGCCACAGGATACAATGGATCTTACTTGCATACAAGTTACAGTGGCCAGCCAGCACCTGCACTTCCTTCCCCTCATCCATCTCCTTTGCATAGCTCTGGGCTGTTACAGCCACCTCCACCCCCACCACCTCCACCAGCACTAGTACCGGGCTACAACGGGACAACCAACCTTTCCAGTTATAGTTATCCATCTGCAAGTTATCCCCCTCAAGCTGCTGTTGGACCTGGATACAGCCCTGGTGGTGCACCTCCTCCTTCAGCATACCTGCCTTCAGGAATCCCTGCTCCAACTCCTCTGCCCCCAACCACTGTACCTGGTTACAGCTACCAGAGTCATGGTTTAACACCCATTGCGCCCTCTGCCCTGACAAACAGTTCCGCAAGTTCCCTCAAGAGAAAAGCTTTCTATATGGCAGGGCAAGGAGAAATGGACTCCAGTTATGGAAATTACAGCTATGGCCAACAGAGATCCACACAGAGTCCCATGTACAGGATGCCTGACAACAGCATCTCGAATGCCAGTAGGGGGAATGGCTTTGACAGAAGTGCTGAAACGTCCTCCTTAGCATTTAAGCCAACGAAGCAGATCATGTCTTCTGAACAGCAAAGAAAATTCAGCCAGTCCAGTAGGGCTCTAACGCCCCCTTCCTACAGTACTGCTAAAAATTCTCTTGGGTCGAGAGCAAGTGAACCTTTTGGGAAGTATGGCTCTCCAGTAATGAATGAACATGGTGATGAACATAGGCAGCTTCTTCCTCACTCAATGCAAGGCCCAGGACTTCGTGCAGCTACCTCATCCAACCACTCTGTGGACGAGCAACTGAAGAATACTGACGCACACCTCATTGACCTTGTAACCAACGAGATTATCAACCAAGGACCTCCTGTGGACTGGAGTGACATTGCTGGCCTAGATCTGGTAAAGGCTGTCATTAAAGAGGAGGTTTTATGGCCAGTATTGAGGTCAGATGCATTCAATGGGCTGACTGCTCTACCTCGGAGCATCCTTTTGTTTGGACCTCGGGGAACGGGCAAAACATTAATGGGCAGATGTATAGCTAGTCAGCTGGGGGCCACATTTTTCAAAATTGCTGGCTCTGGCCTTGTCACAAAGTGGTTAGGGGAAGGGGAAAAGATTGTTCATGCCTCTTTCCTCGTGGCAAGGTGTCGCCAGCCCTCGGTGATTTTTGTTAGTGACATTGATGTGCTCCTTTCATCCCAAGTGAATGAAGAACACAGTCCAGTATGTCGGATGAGAACCGAGTTCCTTATGCAGCTGGACACTGTTCTAACTTCTGCTGAGGACCAAATAGTAGTAATTTGTGCCACCAGTAAACCGGAAGAAATAGATGAATCTCTTCGAAGGTACTTCATGAAACGACTTTTAATCCCACTTCCTGACAGCACAGCGAGGCACCAGATAATAGTACAACTGCTCTCACAGCACAATTACTGTCTCAATGACAAGGAGGTTGCACTGCTTGTCCAACGTACGGAAGGCTTTTCGGGACTGGATGTTGCTCATTTGTGTCAGGAAGCGGTAGTAGGCCCACTCCATGCCATGCCAGCCACAGACCTTTCAGCCATTATGCCCAACCAGTTGAGGCCCGTTACATATCAAGACTTTGAAAACGCTTTCTGCAAGATACAGCCTAGCATATCTCAAAAAGAGCTTGACACATATGTTGAATGGAACAAAATGTTTGGTTGCAGTCAGTGACGTCTTTTTTTAAAAAAAAAAACACACACACAAAACAATGTCATGAATGTTGGTGCGCGCGCACACACACTTACATGCATACAACCTGCTATATAGGGCATGGAACCCCTTTTCCAGTAGTGTTTAAAGTTGTAAAAGGGTACTGGGGGGGGGGGAACCCCAACGATCACCTTGTGTCTAAAGAGCCAGGTGCAGGCTTGAAAGAATAGGGCATCAAATATGAGCTTGTCGATCTGAAAAGCCACAGATAACAGAAGGCATCGCATCTCTTGATGATCCGTTTCCATTCAGGCTAGACAACGCCCTCTCCCCATGGAGCAAGGAGCCAAGTGGGTTGATCCCCCCCCCCCCGAGAAGGACATGAACCCTGTGTGTTGATTCCATTCTGCTGTTCTTGAGATTTAGTTGTTGTCAAGTGCCTGAAGTGGTGCTTTATTTTTTATTATTATTATTATTATTTGTTTGCCTCACAATTACATTGGTGGCATGTGCTAATATAAAGAGCTTTAACTTCAGAAATGTTATGGGACTAAAGAAATGAATGGTCGCATTGCTTCAGAGAACCAGATCTTTTTTTCCCCCCTCGGCTAGTCTATAAGAGCAACAGTATTCCTCAATCCTGTCTGTTCTGCGGTATTAAACTAAGAACAGGTAAAACAGGGTAACGGTAATCTGGACCTTAATTTTCCGCAGTTCATTTCTTTTAATGTTCTCTCTGCAAAAAAAAAAAAGAAGAAGAAGAAAAAAGAAAAAAACTCAGGAAAGTGATTGTGATTTGTACAGTACCTCAAAGGAATGTGTTGAAGGCACTATGTACTGCTGAGAGTTAATAGGCTAGGCTTCAATGTTACTTTATATTAAATATGTATGTTTACCTCAACAGTTGGGAAAAAATGGCAAGGAGAAATAACTTTGAATGTATCCAGGAACAAGCTGAAAAGTGTATTATAACTGAATCTTTTAAACCTTTTAAAATAGAAACAAAAGGGGTATCAGTGTTAAAAAAAATGTTCTTTTTTTAAAAAAAAAAATATTGGGGACCAGATTAGAGCACGAGAAATTTTCATGGCAGTAAAAGTCCTTCGTCCTGGACGATTTTGTGACGAGTTGCAAGACGGTGTGCAGAAAGCAAGAAAGGCCACTCTGTCAAATTATATAATCATGTGGGACAGTCCAAGACAGCATCTAGCTAGTGACTCTGAGAGGCAAATTACCTTAAGATAACCACTGCTTTTGTATCTTGGTTAGAGTCGTTGGTGTTCTGATTATTTCATTGAGCTAATAAAGCAGAATCATTCTAGGTCACTGAGAGAGCTTATGGGTGTTTACAGGAATGCTGTAGAGTAGCGACCAAACAACGAAAGCGAGGGGAAAAAATTAAACCCTCAGATTCTCCCCCATCTCTCATTTTCCGGACACAGATTAATAGTAAATGTGCATTGCCTGTTGTTGTTGTTTTGTTGTTCTTTTATTTTAAGTGTACTCATTTCATGCCCGTTCAGGCTGGAGCATGCCCATCATTTTATTTCTACCTCAGTTTTTGTTGTGTGTGTGTGTGTGTGTGTGATATTTTTTTTTTAAACTCTCTTGGGAAGCAAAGTAAGGAGCTGGGCAAGTCAGATTCCATCCAGAATGCCAACCTCTTTTAATGGGTTTGAAAGAACAGGGGGATGAGATTCCTTCCTGAAGTGAAGTGTCTGTCTCTACCTTTTCTGCCTCTTCTGTCTCTCACTCAGCAAGGACAAAATGGCTGCAGACTTCTGAGAAGGCGGTCTGGCTGGCATAACGTGGCATTTTGTTCAGCTTGTGCCCCTGCTTCGCATTGTCTCTCTTTTCATTCTTTAATGCTTTTATGAGCAATTCTTTTCATGACAGCTGACTGATGCTGGTAATGGCTCTGAGCGGTGTACACTGTAGCATTCGGAGCCTCTGTGGCCAGAGGAGCAGAACAGTCTTTTCTTTTGTGGCGGGAATGCAATTTTTTTGTTTGTTTACTTCAAAGAGAGAGTGGCAGAACACTTGCAAAAGCACTGGCGTTTAATCTTCCTTTTAGGCAGCATACCTTTTTAAATAAGTGAAATAAATGCACGGGGGGGGGGCGTCCTAAGGGAAAAAATTCCAGTCAGTTACCTGGCTGTTTTGTGTCTTTTAAAGCAACTGTCCGGTTGCCTAACATGACATTTACGAGGGGGCTATTCATGGCAGAGTGACACCCTTTTTAAGTCCATGGAAGTCCATAGTCTCAGAAGGGTGTACACTCAGCTAAAATATTTAGGCATTTAGAAAATTAACATGGGTAGACTGCTGGCATTTTATGTCATTTTTAATTTTTAAAACTTTAAACATCTGTTGCTAAAAAAGAAAACAAGCAAATGAACCAAAATTTACATTCTAGCAATTTTCTTCAATTTAAACTTTTTAAAAAAGCAAATGGTCTATTTTATAAAAACAGTGCCTTTCACTAAAGAGATAATAATGTAAACCTCATTAGATGGTTTGCTTTTTCAATTAGTGAATGCCTTCCTTTCCCCGTTTCTATCCCCTTTGACATCTCCCACTGCATCTTCCTTTCTGGCTGGGAAATCCAAATGCCCTCTTTGCTATAGATTTGTATTGATCTTGCAGATGGATTTACTGATTTCAGATTGCTGACCAATCCATTGCGTTCTCTGTTTGCTATCAAGCTGTGCTCGCTTTAAAGGGTCAAGCATATTTTGGAAACCTAACTTGGGCTTAAATCACAAAATCTATAAATCCCTTTGAATCAATTTAATTAACTGATTTTAAGTAAGCATCAGACCAGACCAGTGTGATGCCTTCCAGTCTCACTACTCATCTTTTAAAGAGAAGCGAATGAAATTTACAAGTCCTCATTTTGAGTTCTACTTGGCCTTGTAAGCCGCCCTGAGCCTGCTTTGGCGGGGAGGGGCGGGGTATAAATCATATAAATATCTTCTCATTATGAATCTTGGAAAAGGAACTGATAACTTTAAATATGAAAAAGCCAAGATGATGAAGAGGAAAGAATTCCAAGCTTTGATTTTCCCACTCCTCAAAATATTGGATTTTGCATCGTTAATCCATTGCTGAAAGCTCTGGTGGTTTTCATCTGAAGTGAAAGCTAGATGGGCCAGAGTGCTTTGCCAGACATGGGAAATAGTTTTGTTTACCCCATCATCCTTTTACAGACAGAAAGGAAGCGATGACATTCTGTCAGCTCTCTGCTATGGAAGTTTCCTGGTAAATGGAACTGCTTCTGCATGCCATCTGTAAACAAGGCCATTTTCCCCTCTCTCTCAAATGCTGCTCTATTCTTCTCCATGTGGATTGCTACTCTATATGTCTCCTTATACAGGAAACCAGATCCCGGGTCTTAAGCTTCCAGGGTATTTGGGTGTGCCATGTCTGAGAAGACTGCCTTTTTGTGGTCAACCTTCGTGCACTTAAAATGGCTCCCATCGGAAGGTGCCTGCGATCTGTTTCATTTGGTCAGAACTGTGGGTTCTGCAGCAGTGCGTGAATGAAACTAGCAGATAGGATTGCATAAGGGTGCAGAGAACCTGTGTCTTTAACAGAGGGAAGAATATCAATAGTTGCAGCCCCAGTCACTATTACAGCTCTATAATGGTAGAAGCTTCGTCTGTCAAATTTCTCTCTTCTGTGCAACTATTAATCAATTAAAGGCATAAAAGCCCTGCTCCATAATGCTAGCTTGTTAGATCATTCTTTGGATAGGTTGGGGTATACAGCTGGCTGTACTGGCCTATCAAAATAGTGTTTGTGCCTGTACAGATTGTGACTCTAATGGAAACAGCTATTTTTGCATTAGATGGGGGTTCCCTTTTTATGCAACAGCAGTAACAGTGTTGACAATGTCAAAAGCAAAGGAGGCTGTTTGTCTGCCAGCCAAATTATCAATGCCAATTCAAAATGTAGCATTTATGTAGGTTTGTGGCAGATATACTTCATTTCTGGCATGATTCTGTCCCCAAATATTTAGACTGTTAGAGAAAGTAGTGCAAAGTTTGCTGACTGAGCTGATCAATGGAATGTGAAGGCAGTTTAAGGCTATTTACTTTTGCACAAAATATTTCTCTGTTAGTCAATTTGTATTCTATTCAAATGCAGATAGATGGGTAAAACGGTTTTTCTTGTGCATTTCAAACCCATCAAGGAGAAAATAAAACCTCCCAGTAAAACACATAGGCAAAGCACCATCTGGGAAAGCTAGCTCATCTGTCCAGGGGCTATGCTCTGTAAAATAGTACAAGGTCATTTTATATGGGCTGGCATAATACTTTGCTAGGCAATTTTCAAAAGGAGATAATCTAATGTAAAAACCCCAATTAATTCCAACAGATGTTGGTAGATGGTAATGTGTTTACATGTCAAAAGCTGCAAACAAAGGTTTCTGCTGCCTGAAAACGTGTAGAACTTTGAATAGATAAACAGTTATTGGTCCCATCTTATGTATTTCATCCTATCAATGCAGGCTATATTCTAGGAAAGTCAGAGTGAAATTTAAGAAGCGATATTTAAAAAGAAGTGAAATTAAATTCAAATTTTTATTATACTAAAATGTATTCTACTGCAAGCATGTCAATTTCAGTGGAATTTCTGACCTACCTAATCAAGAATTTACTACATTAATCTCTAAGGTATACATACATACACACACAAACACAGGTATATATTGGTTTTCTTTCCTAGGCATGGCACAGCCTATTGGGAACATCTCCTGCAGAAGTTCCATTATAATGAGTGTGAGTTGCCGAGGACCGCTCTTGTGCAAATCCCATTCTTTTCAACAGGACATGTACAGACCAAACCCCTGGCATGTACACCAGATTTGAATATGAACATGCTTTACCCTACAGCACTAACTCCCTCTCATCTCATAGTTGTGCATGTGTGTGTATTATATTTATCTGTGCATACCTACCAAACCTGAAGTCTCTCTCTCTCTCTGCTTTGTCTTTGCTAGGAAAGATGGAAAGCTT